AATTTTATTTGCCTCATTAACACTCTAAAATATGCATTCGCATACGGAAGTAGAGGAAAGGTTGTAGGATAGAAAAAAAGCAGAAAAAGAAGAAGAGTTAAAGTTAAAAGAAAGAATAAAAAAAGAACGGCAGCGGGCGGCGGCAAAAAAATAAATCTGCCGAGCGTATCTGTGAGTTCATTCACCTGATTCCTTTAATGGTTATTCTCGATGCAGCATGAACCTGAGTTTGATGCTGGAGGCATGCGTTGTGTGAACGTTCAAAGTGGGTACAAGATTACAAGTCTCTCTACAGGGTCAAGCATGATTCTGACCTAGTATACCCGACTCCTTTTGCCAATATTGATGCCACACAAGTTCTAAAGTGGCACCCATAACTTCTGCGATATTGCGATGAAATTCTTATTTGCCATTAAATTATGCCGGATATACTCTCTGAGATCTCTATTTCTTCTTCATGTCAGTACCATTCGTGTCTGACCTTCAATTTCAGTTATCTTCACTTACTTATTTTAAAACAACTTATCCAAAAGTTTCTTTTTTTATACTAAAAGTTCTGTCTTTATTTTTTTTTTTAACAACAAGAATTCTACTTTTGCTTACTAGATGTAACCACTACTTTCCGATACGGTAAAAACGTTAAAAGGAACACCCATCCGAACTGCAGAGACACTATATGTTACTTAACTGCAGTTAATCGTTTAAATCGCAGTCACTGCGGTACTATAAAGACATAATACGAAACAGCGAACAATCAAATTCAACAAAACTACAACTGTGGAATCATAATTGTAATTATAGCATTTAACAGAACGGAAAGTTCCAGGTCTTAGGTTTTGTCTAGTATATAGTATAACATTTCTCCTTCTTTAAAACCATATTATTTATTAAGAGAATTGTTTTCCATTAGAAGAGGCAAATGATAGGATGTAAAACTTCCTACTACTGAAATGAATGGTTTTTACTTTTCATTCTCTTCAATACCGAAAGGCATAATCCAGGAGGAGGTATACATTATATTTGAAGTAGAAAACAATTCAGCGAATACGAATTTTTTATTCCCTAATGCTTTTCCTAATCCTAAGTTTTTTATTCAATAACGTCCAATTATACCAATTTTTTACCCACTAATGTACGATAATTTAAACGATTAAAAACTGATTGTTAAAATACATGAAGCATACAAAAAACATCTTTCTTCTCTACAAACCAAAGTGAATGGCAAAGTGGAACTTTCCATAAAAATCAGTTTTATCAGTAATTAGTTTTATGACTAAAAATTCGGTAAAGTGAAGTATATTAACATCCGGTAAAAAGTGAGTAGTACTTAACAACATAACAAGAAAAAAGAATTTTCGCGACTGATAATTAGTAAAGCAGAATTAGTGTAATTAGCATGCAGAATCGTCAATTGAGTATAGGAAACGATCTTTAAATCTCATCCTTAAAAGAATCCTTAGAGGATAGTACGTCTAATTCCTCCCACTCGTTTCACACGTAGCGTGAGCGCGTGAATTAGACATTAGTAGTGAACGACGAGGAGAGGAGATTGTTGCATTTGGCGCGAGTCAAAGTGTGCTCCAGTGGAAAAGCGTAGGTCGTGGTTTGACCCAGAGTCTGTTGGAAGCCAACCGCGAGACATCATAGTCGAGATGGGAAAGAGAGAAAGAGAAAGATAGAGTGAGAGAGAGAGAGAGAGCTCGCGCAAAACGTTAATACACGTGCACCTTGAAGGCATTCACGAGGAGAGAACCAGTCAACGTTCGAAATCCACCATCATCACTCGTATCGCAAACAACGCTCTTCAAACACACTATCTTCATTAAATTAATCCCCATTAAATCTTTAAAAATTGGGACTTCTTGTTTCATCTTCCCTAGGTGGAATCAAAGTTATCCCTTTAGAAGAAGATGGTGTCAGCAATTCGTAAATTGTAAGAAGTTGAAAAGTTGTAGTTGTAACAAGTTGAAAAATTATAGTTGTAACAAGTTGATAAATTTTAGTTGAAACAAGTTAAAAAATTAGTTGTAATTTTGTAAAAGAGAAAAATGTTTGTGTGCAAAACTTAAGAGAACAATTTGTAAAATTGTAATTTTAACGATTTGTAAAAGAGAATTTTTTGAGTGCGAAAATTATGGGAACAAGTGTTATAATGTGAAGTAGGGAAAATTTAAGGGAGTAAAACACAGTCGAGGAGAAATCATCAATCAAGAGTTGAGGAGCAATCAAGCGCAGGAGAAAGATGTATTAAGAGAGTGAGAAGAAGGGAATTAAGACAACAATCAACCTGTCGAGAATCGGAGTTGTTCCAGACATCAGTTGACAAATAGAAAACTAATAAACAATCAAAAGGATAAAAAGTAGTTAGAAATTGATCAAAAGTATTTAGAAGAATATGGATGAATACTGAGATGAAAATTAGGAAAAAGAAAACAACGGAAGACAATTAGCAGATGTTCGTTCACCTTCTCATTTTTTGAGGATAAAATTAAGAGGAGAAGCAATGAAAAAAATTTGCAGAAGGTAACCGAAAAATCAGCAGAAGATACAAAAATTAAAATCAATCAAGAAGAACGTAAAAAGTAACTGAAAAAAATTTAAATTGACGGAAAAAATGTCGAAAAGTGGTCGAAACTAACCTGAAATCTAAAACCCTAAAACGTTAGAGCAAGATTAAAAACTAAAAAAAACAGAGAGACGATGATCAAGATAATCGCAGACAGCAGATGATAGATTTTACCGGAAGATATTTATTTGATTAATTAGATTAATCAAATGGTTTGCAGTTAAATTTTTTCTAGAATGTCAATCATACCAAATGGAATTTGCATAACATACTTTCCAGATGTTAATCACGTGCAGCATTTTTCACAAAATATTTTCTTGAAGATGTCATGAGAGATTTCGCGGAAGATATTTTTTTTATAGAAACCGCAATCATTATGAAAGACTTTGCACAATATATTTATTAGATGTCTCGTAAAATATTTTACGCAAGATAATCTTTAGCAGATTGTACAAAAATTCCGACAAGATATTTTTACAAATGAGGAAATTCATTACTTTGTTTAAACTTCGTTTATGGAAGATGCAGATTTCAAAGATGCAAATCTGAAAATGCAGTTGATCTAAAAGATGCAAATCTGAAAGATGCAGATGATCTTAAAGATGCAAATCCAAAAGATGCAGATTATCTAAAAGAAGCAGAGATTCTAAAAGTTGCAGATGATCTAAAAAATGCAAATGATCTAAAAATTGCAGATGATCTAAAATATGCAAATATTCTAAAAGATGCAGATATTCCGAAAGATACATCAGGAAATAATTTAACAACACATTACTAAATGAGATTTTGCAATTGATGCCAATGCAACAGATGTTTCGGTAAACATAAAACAAATTTTGCTCCTAATCAAGAATCAACGGAATAAAATTAAATACATTCTCCAATAAATAATTTCCAAAAAGAGAAGAAAATCAGTCTAAACAAATCTGCTATTAATCGAGAATCAACGGAATAAAGCTGAATAAATTCCGCCCCAAAAAAGAAGAGAAGAAAACTAATGATGTGTATTTTGCACATATTCATTGATAAATCAACAATAATGACGGCATAAATTACCAATACATATATTACCCATATGTATACGCGGTGAAGAAACGGATGTATGGAAATGTTTTTTACGCAACATTGTATATATAAGAAGTAAAGGAGGCAAAGTAAGTGATTTGCGTTGAGTGGTATGTGCATAATGAATTTTTGACTCATTAAAATACCGTTGAATCTGGATGGGAGTCTCTCTCTCTTTCTCTCTCTCTCTCAGTGCATCCAAGATACACTTTGGAATATTACCGGATCAACATTACCGGTGCGCAAAGACGGTAATTATGCAGGAGTGGTGTCAGTGCTTGCTGAACCAACAACTAAAACAAATCGAGTAGACACTTTGCGGAAAGTCTTTGTTCTATGAAGACTGTATTACTTTACGGAATATATGCGGTGAATTAATTGTGTGTAAATATATGTGAGTGCGTCGAAGTGTAAGTGTCTTTATTCATAGTGCCAAGTGACTTTGATTGTGAATAATGATTGTTACACCTATTGCAACAATTCACTTACGAAAGAGAGCAATTACAAGGTGTGAGATGATATTTTCAGTTTATTACTTTTTTGATGTTTGTTAACAAGGAAGTTGATTCTTGTGTGGGATTTTTGTTATTTACGTATTGAATTTGGTTAAAGGATTTTGATTCTCAGTGGAGAAATTAGACAACGGATTTTTGTTCTGGATTCAAATTTCAATGTTATCTTTCAAAATACTATGGATTTTTACAATGGAACAAGTTTTGGTGTACAGTATGTTTTAACGGATACAACACTTTGTTAATAGTGGAAGAAGCTTTGGTAGGAAATAAATTTTTAGTGGTACATTTTTGTTGAGTACATTTTTAGTTTGAATTCATTTATGGGAACTTGTGAGAAGATACATTTACGAGTGCGGAGAGAAAAGAAGTTTGGAATAAAAATATAATAAAGATCATCTGCGAGGATAAAATTTCTTTTGTTTTACGGAGTAATTTTCGAGTGGAACAAAGCTTATCTCGAATTAGCCTTCACTAAAATCATCTTCACCTGCAAAGGAAGTCTCTCATGAATATAGAGGAACATTTATTCTCCGAAATAAAAAAAAACCGTCTTCTAATAGTGGAACACACATTCTCCTCGTGGAACACATATTTTTCCAGTGAAGCACATGTTCATAAATTGAAACATACACTTTTAGATTGAAACACGTTTTTATGTAGTTGAACTCTGGTAATTAAGAACTTTATAACTTGAAATAGAAACAAGAAGAGGAATAAGGAAAACGACTAAAAAGAGAAATAAGAAAAAGAAGAAGAAAAAAGAATACGAAAAGGAAGAAGAGAAAGAAAAAGATTACGAAAAGGAGTAAAAAAAGGAAATGTAATAAGAAAATAAAGAAGAAATAGGAGAAGAAAATGAAGAAGAAATAGAAGAAGAGGAAAAAGAGAAAGAAGAAACACGAGAACTAAGGATAATCGGTTCCAATAACACTAAAAGTTTAATGAAACAAAAAGATGGGAAATAGCGGAATAATTTTGAAATATTAATGAACATTACCGAACACTAATGGAATAATAAGGAAAACAGTAAAGTAAATAGATATAATTGCACAAAAACGAGTGGAAATGGTGAAGAAAAAGTGTAAAATTGTCATTTGTAGTGTAATTATGTAATAAAGATAAAGAACGTCCAATTCGATAGGCTCGGTTACAGTGAATAGTTTCGAGTGTGACAGGATGTCAATCTTTCGAAATGAATAGATTTCTTTAAACTGTATTTTTTTTTCTTTACGCGCACCAAGTCTGGGAACACGCGAATATTCACGCTAAAATAGAGACATTAGCAAACTTTTCCACAAAGGGACCATTAAATAAAAAAAAATCCGAAACAATGAAGACCATTTGAAAACTGATGAATCTCCGTTATCTCTGAATATGATAAAAATCTAAACGAGCCTCAATTGCTAATTAATATTAACGTTAATTAATAGCCATTAAGGACAGTTTTCTAATTAGTCGATCTAATTACCTAAATATTATTATAAAATATCAGAGAAATAACACGAAATTCAATTTGCATGTGTAAAGTAATTTACAATGTATAGAGGAAAAAGAAAGCGTGAAGGTCGTGGTAAATAAAAAAACATTAGAATGTAAAGTGATTTTTTATTTTTGTGAAAAATATGGAAAGTCTCGCGGTAGTAATAATAGTAATAAAAAAAGATTATAAACTTTCAGTTGAACAATGAGGAAATAATCGCGTGAAAATCAGACCGTAGAATATTTAGCGATTCGTTTGGAATCGTAAGGAAAATAGAATTGTGATACTAATTTTACATAAGAGCTTGTCGATCGTGTGATTAAGTTTTCCAACTTTCCGAAAGTTCAATGCACGTGTGCTGGAGTTTCCTCTTCTTAAAAACAAATATTTTTTTCTCCCCCTTCTACATAAATTCACTTAACCCTATTCTACGCTCCAGGAAGTGCGCACCGGTCAGGCCACAAAACGCTACTTTCGAGACTCACATGTGACCTGTAATTACGGGAGTGTAAACACGGGTGGCGAGCAAAACCATCCTTTAAATATTGAATTATATACCATTTTGATAAATAATTTTTATTTTTATTATAATTTTACAAATGTTTTACAAATGTTTTACAAATGTTTTACAAATGTTTTACTAATGTTTTACAAATGTTTTACAAAAGTTAACAAAAGTTTATAAATGTTTTACAAATGTTTTACAAATGTCGACAAATGTTTTACAAATGTTCAACAAATGTTTTACAAATGTTCAACAAATGTTTTCAAAATATTTTCAAAAAGTGTTTTCAAAATCAGTAGTGAGAATTAAAAAAAATTATTAAATAAAAGAAAAGAGGGAAAATTATAATAATGAGAGAATGTTAATTGCAGATGTGGAGAGCACGGGTCACGTGATACAGTGGAACGGTGTAATTTTACAAGAATGTTGTATAGCCGTTCACGTTGTGCTTTGACAAGAAACTCGAAGATGATGTTGATGATGAACCGTTAATTTCGTGAGTGTTTACGATTGATCCAGTGGTGAAAATAGGAATAAAAAGAAAAAAGTTACCGGGTGAGGATAAAATGGGAAATTCAAGATCACAGCCGAGTAGAAGGAGCAAATCGCAGAGTTTACTCCACTTTATTCAGCGCACGTGGAGTGCAGTGATCGATTCACAGGGGAGAAAGGATCAATATGGGAACAGCGATCGAGACACTGATTTATCATCAAGATGCAGTGGATGCAAGGAATGTGGATATCATCAAGACAGCTTTATTTTCGACAGGTGAGTGACTTTATTTTATTATCGCTTGTTGGTAATGTGTAGAAAAATCGGTAATTTGCAGAAAATTTATTACCGCTTTTTGGTAATGTAGACAAATGGTTAATGCCCAGAAAATTTATTACCGCTTGTTGGTAATATAGAAATATAGTTTATGTCCTGAAAATTTATTACCGCTTGTTGGTAATGTGGAAAAATCGTTAATGTCCCGAAAAGATAATCTCACGATTTAAAGTGAGCGCCAAAGTATTATTTTTACTATAAAACATCAGTTTACAGTTTACCATTAAGAGAAGAAAAGATTCCCAATCGATAATAACCGATAGGGAAATCTTTTCTTCTCTTAATGGTAAAGTAGAAAATCGTTACTGCAATCCGGAAAATTCCTGAAAATAAAAATACCCCTTGATGGTAAAATAGAAAGTAGGATCGGATAAGGTAGAAAACTGCTTGATTGACAATCGAAACTCTTTGGGTAAGGTGGAAAGGATAAGGTAGAAAACTGATAGATTGAAGTTAGATTATGTAGTAAAGATAAAAATGAAGGTGCGTGAGAACGCAGAACTCGGAAGATTTATCCTCGGATTTATCCATGAGAAGATCGATCAAGATCTATCTCTATCGGTTCCGGGTTGAAATTGCGGTTTATGCTTGATATAAAAATTAAGAATTACGATAGTACTTCTTCCGTGAATGTAATATTAGTTATTAGTTATTTATTTATAAAAACGACTATATAGTGATTTTAGTATTTTTTAGTAATATTTTATTATTCTTCAATTCATATACTTACATTTTTATTTCACTCAAATTTTAAACTTTTATACCAACGATGGAAATTTTTTATAAATATTTTCAATAATTACAATATTGAAGTGAATGGTAATTTAAATTTAACATTTGTTTAGTTGAGAATTAATTTTTTTTTAAATAAAAATTCTTAAAATTAATTAAATTAATTAAAAATTAATTAAAAAATTCTTAAAACTAATTAAAAAAATATTAAAAATAATTTTTTAATTAAATTAATTAAAAGCTAATTAAAAAAATATTAAAAATAATTTTTTAATTAAATTAATTAAAAACTAATTAAAAAAATATTAAAAATAATTTTTTAATTAAATTAATTAAACACTAATTAAAAAAATATTAAAAATAACTTTTTAATTAAATTAATTAAAAACTAATTAAAAAAATATTAAAAATAATTTTTTTTTATGTAAACCGTGTTTTTTTAATTAAAAAAAAGAAAATTAAAAAGAAGTAAAAATAATATCATCAAATTAGTTTTTTTAACTAATTTTAATTTAGATTTTTTTGCTTTTGAGTTAGTAAATTTTAGTAATAAATAGTAATTTCTACCAGATTTACTAATAAGTAGTAATTTCTACTAATTTTACTAATAAATAGTAATTTCTACTATTTTTAATCATTTTTATTTTTTAATATTTTCAATTTTAAAATCAATGTATCGAAAATCATTGAATTCATATACAAAGAATTTTATTTAAAAAATTTAAAAATAAATGAATTCCTTCGAAAAATTGTATTATTTATGAAAATAATCGAATTCTTGTGGAGGAATATTATTAAAAATTTTGAAAATCCTAATTAAATTCTTTTGAAGAATTTCTTTGAATTTTTTTTAAATTTAAAAATTTTTTTTAATAATTTTAATTGAAAATTTTTAAAAGTAATTGAATTTTACGAACATTTTCTTTCAAAGTTTTTAAATTATCGTGTTTCTTAATTATTAGTGAAATTAAACTTTTAATTAAATTGTATTTTATTGAAATTTCTAGAAAATAATTAAATTCTTCTCTGAAAGTTAATAACAATTTTCTAAAATAATTTAATTCATTCTCAAGGATTTTGACTAAAATATAAAAAATAATTAAATTTTTTCGAAAAACTCATTGCTATGAATTTTACTATAGTTATAAAGATAATTGAATTGTTTTGAAGGATTTATTAAAATTTTAGAAAATAATTGAATTCTTTACAAAAATGTTATTAAAATTTTTTTTTAAATTGAATTGTATCGAAGGATTTTTAAAAATTTTTGATAATGGAATTTTTTAAATGAATTTTATTAAATTGAATTGAAAATAATTGAATTCTTGAAAAGATTTTTATTATTTATTAAAAATAATTAAATTCTTGAAATTATTGAAAGTAATTGAATTGTTTCGTTAAATTATTATTTTGAAGTTTTTAAAAATAATTAAGTTCTTTCGAAAAATTTTATTAAAATTATATTAAAAATAATTGAATTGTTTTGAAAAATTTTATAACGAATTAAATAAAAAAAATTGAATGCTTCAGTGAAATTTTATTGAAAATAATTGAATTTTTGAAAAGATTTTAATATTTTGAAAAAGTAATTGAATTGTTTCGAAGGATTCAAGAAAATCTTAGAAAATAATTGAATTCTTTTCTAAAATTTTGTTGAAAATAATTAAATTTTTGGAAAACAATTTTACTATTTATCAAAAATAATTAAATTCTTGAAATTATTGAAAGTAATTAATTTGTTTCATTTAATTATTATATTGAAGTTTTTGAAAATAATTAAATTCTTTCGAGATATGTTATTAAAATTATATTTAAAATAATTGAATTGGTTTGAAGAATTTATTAAAGTTTTAGAAAGTAATTAAATTCTTTTGAAAAATTTCATAACGAATGAAGTAAAAAAAATTGAATTCTTTCGTGAAATTTCACTGAAAATAATTGAATTTTTTGAAATATTTTACTATTTAAAAAAAATAATTGAATTGCTCAGATGGATTTAAGAAAATTTAAGAAAATAATTGAATTCTTTCCTGAAATTTTGTTGAAAATAATTGAATTTTTAAGAAAAAATTTACTATTTATAAAAATAATTGAATTTTTTTGAAGAATATTAATATTTATGAAAATAATTGAATTCTCGCGAAGAATTAACCCCAAATTCTGGGTTAATTAATAATTAAATTAAAATCAATGAATTATAATATCATAATTATAAAATCAATCATAAAATTCAAGAAAATTAATAAAATTGAATAAAATTGACTATTGAATTAAATAATTGAAATAAATAGGAAATTGAAAAATTAAAGAAATGTACAAAAATTAAGAAAAACTATAACTTTGGGAATAATTTTTACAAAACTTCTGGAATATTTCTAAACGAATATTTCTCAACGAGATGAAGGAACGAAAAATTTAGAACGAATGAAATTATTTTTTTCCTTCTGAATTCAAAGGGAATAAAAAATACTGCTACAAGAATAGGAACTATAATTGCAATTATACTTCTAAAGGATAATTGTTGCACATTGTAGAAAACGCACAGTCCGGCGAAACATTATTTTTTTCTTTTTTGTTATCATTGGGACCATTGTTTTAGAGGGCAATCATGAATATAATTGCAATTCATATTTTATACATATATATACTTTTTTTTTCTCATATAATGAGGTGTATCTTCATCATATATTATACATTTGCGAGTAATGAAGGAGAATGGATTAATTTCATGTACTTTCACGTGTATATATGATGTTAAATTAATTTCAGCTGTATATATGATCAGGGGTCTCATTTCCGCTTGTAATAATACACAAACTATATAGTGTGAATAAAAATTGCTAATTCGATTCTTCTTTTTTGTTTGTATATTTCTATTTTAAATTGCGCTTTTCCAAATGTTCTCATCACTTTCTATAATATATAAATTCAAACAGATACAATTGAAAACTCAGTGCTATAGAAATATTATTTTCCTATCATATAATTGTGATCTCTAAAAAATTGGAAAAAAATTGGGTATTAAATTTCTAGATTCAAATCTAATTCTAAATTTTCTCCATATTATACTATTTAAATTCAGTTTCATTGGAATTTTTCTATTTTAACAAGATCGCATATATATTGTATAAACAGTTTTCTTTCTTATTCTTTGTTTACAATGCGTGAACGCGCATGTAAAATGCCTTCGTAGAAAATGATTAAAATCGCTGTTATTTTTTTGTAGGAAAACGGTAATGAACTTTACGAACCATAGGAAAATTAGTTTTGCCAAAGAAAAGTTGTAGTATCTTTAATTCATGCATTTAACTTTGAAGAGAAAGAATATAACGTTTGTGATTTCTTGTTTCTTATGTCATCATTTTTGTTTCAAGTGGAATGAAGTCGTTAGCACTTGTTCTTTTTTTTTTCTTTTATTACCGATGTTTTTACACCTTTCTTTTTTTATAACGCCGACGATTACATCAGAAAGAAGAGCATTGATAGACGAGTTATATAAAGTATAAATTGCGATAGCTAAGTTTGTTTTGATCCACTTATTGAGAGTATTTTTCTTTTTCGCTTTCGTTTCATGTTTTCATTGATTCTTTGTATTTTAATAGTATTTTTTATTTATTTTATTATAATAAAATAATTTTTTCTCTCTCTTAATTTTTAATTAGTAATCACTCATTTAAATTAATGACTGATATTTTGCTTTTTAATTAGTAAATTTTGCTAATAAGTAGAAATTACTCTCTAAATTTGAATTATATAGTAAATTTTACTAATAAATTAGTAGAAATTACTATTTATTAGTCAAGTTTACTAATTGACTGACTTCTTGCTTTTCAATTGATAATTTGTACTAATAAATAGTCATTTCTACTATTTTTACTAAAATGAGTAATAATTTTTAGTAATTCACTAGTAAAATGTACTAATTCAAAAGCAAAAAATCAGTCACTAATTAAAATTAGTTGTTGTTTGCTTTTTTGTTTTCTAACTTTTTAAATAATTTTTCTTTTTAAATATTTTCAATTTTAAAATTAATGTAATGAAAATCATTAAATTCTTACAAAGAATTTTATCGAGAAATTTGAGAATAATTGAATTTCTTCTTCGAAAAATTTTATTATTTATGAAAATAATTTAATTCTTGTGAAAGAATATTATTAAAAAATCTTGAAGTTTCTTTAATAATTTTAATTTAATTTTATGAACAATTT